GATTTGCCGGTGAGTTTTCTTGAGTCGTCAGCTTTAATTTTGTTGTGACGATGTTACCACGCTTTGATGATGTCCATCATATGACGGACGAAAGCTTAGCACATTTGCTATGGAAACAGCGTCAGAATGAATCTTCCAGTGGTGGAACCGACCTTCGGATCTCTTCACCCAACACTTTCACTAGAAATGAAAGTAAGCTCAACAATTATGAAGCAAGTGATTACTCGAAACCCAAATTTTCTTCGTATAAACTAAGACTAGCCGCCGACTTTCTTCTCTCTTTCTCCCCCGACGTTGCTGTCCTAAATTTACTGTGCCCTCAAAATGCCTCACATCAACAGATCTTATTCCCTAGTTTGTTTCATGCTTGATTCTGAACAAATTTATCCTTCCTAATTAGGCTTTAGAGACTTATTTTCTCTGGTCAGGTTGAGCGACCATTCATCATATCACTTTGGCTGAGCATATTATTGTCAAGTCAAATCTCTAGCAACTGTTTTGTGCCTTGGTCCTACTGCATTAATGTGAATTTTGATAGCCCTTCCAATTGCCCCCCCCTTACTCAGATGATGGGGATGCTCAGTCATAGGAACTACCAACTTTTCCCATAGAGTCGAAGCCGGTCATTTTGGCCATTCACGGACAGGGCCTTCTTTTTTCGCTCCTCGCAGTCAAGCCATGGCAGCGCAATGCCCACTGGGGAGCCAGATCAACACGCGACAGTCAGGACATAAAGACCGAACAATCTGGTGTTCCGGGCACAAATTAAGCAGAGCCTGCATTCCGACTCATGTGACGTTCGTTGCACGTCGATCCAACCAAAGGGAAGAGGAGAAATACAAAAAGTTGTCTGGCCTCAGACTTTCTATATACAAACTGACGCAAGGTAAGAGCAAATAAAAAGAGCCTCGCTCCGTACAAATGCAGTATGTGGTGGTTCCGTGCATTTTTTGCCATTTCGTTGAGATGTATTTAGTTTCAAAAAATTGATTAAACAAACAATTTTCATATTTTATTTGGCATTCTAGAGCCAATACCTGGCAAGAATTCCTTTTGATCACTCTGGTTTAGGACCGCCATTGCGTATAGATGTTAGCACAAACACAGACATATACATACGCACAAACACAAGTTCAGGCAAAAGTGGCAGGACCAATATAAAAGATAATTAACCAAACCATCCTATATCTATTTATGCCTATTCATTCTCAATGATTTATATATACCCCAACCTATACATTTTGATGAGGTTCAGAGTGATTTGATTAGTTCAAGTTCTATGTGAATATAAAAGGTAAAATAGAGCCGAATAGTCTTCTTCACCTAGTGTTAATGTGAAACTTTTACCAAAATGATTTCCATTTCTGATGATGACCAGCATATGATGGACGAAAACTCAAAACGAGGCAAGATGTCTCGTAGATTGCGTCAACCTGAAAGTCGTATTAAAGCCAAACGGCTGCCATACAACATCAATCCGTCGACTTCTTCTAATGAGATCGAGCTTAGAATCTCTGCTTCATGCACTTTCATAAGAAATGAAAGTCTCCCCAACAATATATTCAATAAACCGGAAAATTGTTCTTCCTGTAAATCGTCTTATATTTGTCCCAGATGAATGCTTGGCTAAATAAATTAAGGGAATAGATGTACTGATCTGGGAAATGGAGAAGGATTTGCTCATTAGGCAAAGTGCCGGCATTCTGAGCATCTCTCGCCAATTCTCCTGATAGTTGGCCGTTAGTGCATTCTTAAATCGTGTTTCCAAGTCTACTTAAGGTTCGATGTGAAGACTTTCTTTTCGTATGGAAGTACATGATGAAGAGATTCGTGGGTCAATCTCATCAGAGGACGTCGGCTGATTTGCGTTGTACTGTTACGCTTTTTTCTAATTACTCTGAGTTATGACCGGTTTCGCGTACAGACGTTAACCTATATAAGCATACAGACACACTAGAGTGTACGTAAATTAAGCAAACCTTTCTATATCCATGCATATGCGAAATTTTGCTCTCAATGAATGTATATATCACATAGAAAAAAACCGGTTAGTCTTCTTGACTTAGAGTTAACTTGAGGCTTCCATAAAAATAAGTCCCAGCTCTGCCGATGTTCGTCACATGACAAACGACACAGCCCAGCTTCGCCCGAAACGTTGGAGGATGTCTCGTGAACTAAATCAGCCTGAATGTCATATTGATGTCAAAAGGTTGCTGTGCAACCCCGACCTAAGAATCTCTTCATCATGTACCTCCATACGAAAAGAAAGTCATCACATCAATCTTACCTCAGGAGAGTTTTCGAAACCCGCATTTTATTCGCATATACTTAAGGGTCATTTGTCACATTTTCCGGCCCCTTGTAACGAACGAATACTTGCAGCAATTCATTAATTTTCCGTTTATAACTACGTCTTCGAGATTACTTATAGATCTGATATAAGAGCTGTAATCATCCTATTTCGTTCAAGTTGATGAGTCTTTGGTAGCTACATTTGTTCATAAGCATATGAGTAGGCCTCATATATTCATTGCATTTCCCGTATTCCCATCTAGGCTGAAGTGGACCGCAGATTCGACCTCGCCTGAAATGGTCTCCCCAGCACCCGAAGCGGGACTCGAACTATGACAACGCAGCTGATGAGACCTAGGCGTGATCGAAACTGCAGTCCACTACAGCTGGGATGAGAAATTTAATAGAAATAAAAGGCCTAATCATATAATTGTGGGGAAATCCCATTACCAGACCTTTATTACCAGAAATAAAATAAGGGGAATACAGCTCATAAATAAGTAATTTGGTTGCCAGAAATCCTTCCTAATATTTTAAACATTAATTCATGGTTGATTTCGCTTACTGTAAAATTTATATAAGTTTGTCTTGTTTGCATTTTGTCAGACTTTATCTATTATTGAAGATATGAAAACCAAGATGTTGTGGCCTCTGGTATGGTCGCAGCCTCCTTTCGATTTATAGAAGTGGGTTGACCACGTTGTCGCAACTCGGTCTTGTTGTCAGGGCGACTTAGTAGAACGGACATAGTCCGAAGTAGTCTGCCATTGTAGTTGTCATGATTCCCAGCATCAGACAGTGGACTTGGTACATTTTCAAACGTCAAAGAGACAAGCGAAGTCAATCCCTCGACCAGCGTTCTGCCGAAAACGATTACACTTTCACTCCTCTTTCTGTCCTGGCATTGACTTTACTTGTCTCTTTGACGAGTACGTGGCTTGGTGTGGAAAATGGCAGCACTCACTTATGATACCGACTAACATGCCGGCTAAACGTTTGAGAAGGTATCGAGTCCACTGTCTGATGCTGGGAATCATGAAAATTAATATTACAGACGACTTCGGACTAGGTGCGTTCTACCAACTCGCCCTAACAACAAGACAAAGTTGCGACAACGAGGTCAACCCACTTCTATTTAGCTATTATATTTGGAACTGTAGAGGGAGTGGGAAGATTAAAATTCATACAGTATCTTTTCTTATTGAAACTTGTCCAGCGTAGATTGCGGGGGGTGTCATATGCAATGAATGGTCTAAAAATTTCATTTTTACTGCTTTGAAGTTCTTCTCTTTATCTCTCTGAAGTCAGAATATATGAATAAAGTTAGATAAATGTAGCAATATAGTGTCATTTTTCAGGGGATTTTGTTGGCTTAAAGCAGACTTCTTCTCTTCAATGAAGACTTGATCGCTTTATTTAACCTAACCGACTCTATAAGTCGAAGATATACATCTGATTATTTAGTATTACGTTTTACCTTTCATTTGTATCAACAACTAAGATTGACATCAAATCTGATTCTAAGTCTCTGAAAAGGAACTTCTTCTATTCCTTAGACAGTTAATACTGGAGACTTTTGTGGAAAATCTTAATGTTGAATTAATGCCCTTGACAGCAAAAGTTATTGTCGCTTACCGCCAACTCGACCTAGATACTCGACTTTACCGGAAGGATCCTAGCAGACGGTCAAGGAGACAAGCCAACACATTATTCTGGGCCGGATCTAGCACACTCGCCGGAAGATGAGCCATTTTTCTAGCCATCCTTTGTTTGCCAATGGGGCGTTTCAAAGTTTCGCCGGTCAACTTTGAGGTTATACTCGTCGGAACCCTGAAGAAAACACGTTATAAGCTATTCCATATTCCTCCCATCCAGTAGTACGCATATAATTATATATTATTTGCCTATTTATACATATGCGTACTCCATTCATCTTGGGCAGATATTTTGGACTCAATAAAATGTAGGCCGTCTAAAATGCTTCTCTCCGGTGCAGGATGTGGGCCAGCTAAGGGCAAACTTGAACTGAGTGCTCGGTGGCTCATGATGTCTCCATGGCAGAGGAAACTTGGTCAGCGGTAGCCGATGGAAATAACTCGGTGTATGAAGTGTCCAGATGAGGTTGCTGAATTGTTGTCAACTTTTTAGCTCGTTTCTCATTGGAGGCTTGTGGTCGTTCCAATTTGCTGGTATGAATGAATTCATTGGGGCAGAAGGAAGCAAGAATGGTGGAAGAAGTTGGTCAGGAAAGGACAGGATTTCCACCCGCAATTTCTGAGAAAGCACGAAAACGAAATAGAAAGTTGCATCATACGATGCACAGTTAGACACCAATTCGAGCGAGCTTTACTGTTTATCAAGAATGCTTAATTTTTAGGATGGACTAGATTTTAGTGCTGAAGAGACTGGAACTCGGTGCGATAGAGACAGTTATGAATTGAAATATTTAGTGTATATTCGTTATTTTCATGCGATTATCTTCTTCATCATGTTACTGT